TTTTTGAATCACACCCTTCACCTTTAGTTTCTTTTTCAACCGACTGCAAGAAAATCTAATGTCTAATTGGTCTAATGTGCTGATCAAAGCCCTTTTTTGGACTTATTCCAGCTTTTAACAGTGAAATAAACTCACACAAAATAATTCAATAATATCTATTACTGTAATGATGTCACATATCTAATGAGACTTTAGTAGTTAAATTTTTTCCTTTAGTATGTGAGTGTTGCCTTGCAGGAGGTTGATGGTTCTACACCTAGCTGCAGCCTTTCTGCCTGGAGTCAGAATGTCCTCCCGATGCATGAGTGACTTTACACACACACACACACACACACACACACACACACACACACACACACACAAATCATGCATGTCATTAAATCCGAAATGTCCATAGATGTTAGTTGCTGGTTCTTTCACGTGTCTCTATGTGGCCCTGCAATGGAACATTTACAGGCAGAAACAGTTATGGAAAAGGCGAGTGAATGAATGAATTCATTAATTTTTGATGATTTACGGACTTTTTTTATTGATCAGATGTGGCTTTAATGTGATTGTTTTTCACCATCTGAAGTGTGTTTGTTTACATGCAGGGGTGCAACTACCTACTTTCTGAGGGGTGAGAAGATACATCACATAAATTGAGAAGGAAAAAAAATAGCAAAAAAAGGATTGGTATTTTTTATGGGACGTTTATTTTAGTGGAAAATTAATTAAAACCAAACTTAAATAGATTTAAAAATGTTACTGGTATTTTACTGTCATTCTGTAAAATATTCAGTGAAAACTCTGAAAAGCTGTTTCAACCAGCTTTTTAATTGTAGGCCTGTCTATATTATTGAAATGAGTTGATGGTTTAAAATCATTTTCGCTAAAGTTATTCAGAGCCAGTGTAGAAGGTCCAAAGAGCCTGAGTTAACCCACTGTGCAGAGATCTAGTTTGGACGTCCTACAGACGTGGTCTACAGACGAGTCCTATTGGAGCTAATCTATGGGTTCCTGATATCGAGAGGTGCAGCACGACCTCTTGACCCCCTGAATCGCACAAGAATCTCTGCATGAGGGTGCGTAGACTTGGTACATATTCCGTAGGATTGTTTTTATAAACAAATCAGTAGTTTACAAGCAAACAGCCTAATTCTTTTACAACCCAGAATACACAAATTCTCCCAGATGCTTAAGAATGGTTCTGCTAAACCATCTCCATTACAACATCCCACACACCACATTAAATCACTTCATATTCATTATTCCATTCATATCTTGCCATGTATAATTATTAGTGTAGCGTGATGAGCTGTCCATTTGTGACCTAAAGGCCCTGCTCTATTTGCTCTGCCCAAGCAAAACCACAAGTTTCTGACACAAGCCAAATCTGCATGACATGGGCCAAGGCCACTCGTGCTCTGTGCTCTTATCTAAACTGTTGCTTCCTCGGACAACACAAGAAAGAAGAAAGAAGACCAAGAACTCAATTAAATAATAATTAAATAACGTCTGTTAGTCCAAATAATCATGTGAAGCTAATGTTCAATCAGTCTGTGAAATGAGAATATTAATTACTTGATATTATAATCCTATGATAGTATTTTAATAAGTAATATAACTTTAAATATTTACTCTAGACTGATCACACGCAATGCTAAAATCACATGACACATTTCCCTTTTCTGATCCGAACAGAACCTTCCAGATCTGACGCGAGGCGTGGTTTTGTTGGTGCTTGTATAATCCCCTTTTGTTGGCAAATTCTGATTCTACCGTAAATCAAAACATCCGAATCATAAAACTATGCCCCACGTCATCTTAACTTCAGTTCCAAGCGTTCTAGAGAAGTTATCGGAGTGGCCAATCCGTAACTTTCCTCTTAAAGCTGAAAGAACCAGCGACAAGCTGGATTAAATCTGTAGCATGTTCCACCTGCTGCAACGGTTCCTTCAGAATAAAAGCTGAACCATCACGACCCCTTCAGGGTCTCGCTGATGCCAATAAACTGTCGTGACCTGGGAGTAACTCAAGACTGGAAGGGTCGGCAACCGCTGCATATCTACAGGCTTTGGTTCCAGACAAGGTCTGAGCTGGACCTCGACACCTCCTGATCTAAACGGGGACTTCCGTTGGGGTACGTAGACCGACAGATGGCGTCTCAATGTGTGTTATAATCTCCAACCAAAGCTTAGAGCGAAACACCATCTCACTTCCATCAGAACTAATCGTTTCTCCGGATCTGCTGGTTCTGGACATATTTCACACACACACACCATCCTCAGTCTCACTCCACCTTATTTCATCATCACATAGTGTTTAAAGTTAGTCTTGATTAATTTGTTTAGAAATAAATCTTTTATCTTTTTAAACCTGACTCTCTCTCTTTCTTGGAGTTGATATGAAGTGTTGCTCAATCCCTGCAATAAAAAGATCCGATCTTCTGGTTAACTTTACTCAAAGATCCACTGAGGTGATATTTAATATTTTATATTTCACATTCTATGGTTTCTAATTAAATGTAATGACAGGTTCATTAAATTAGTTTAGGGAAAATAAATAAATTCATTTTTATAAACTATATACCTGACTGTCAGAATTAGTACGAAGTGTGTTTATGGTCTCTGAAGAAGTAAAGTAACTAGAATCTTCTGATTAAACATTCAAAGATCAATCAGGTTGATATTTCATATTTATATGGAATTATCCCATCTTATTGATCATTTCAATAAATATGTAGCCAATCATCAACGCTACACCTGCTTAACCCTCCCACTGTTCTAATGGGTGTGACCTCGCGAGGAAAGTTGACCAATGAGCAGGCTGTCCGTCCGTCCAATAAATCAGACCAATACAAATTTATCAAAATATATTAATGGGATTACAATAAAGCCAGACAATTAAAATAAAACAAAAAAAGACTTCTCAGTGGCCTTTTGAAATGATTGTTCACCCTGGGACTGGGAGATGGGGGTTCAAATCCCAGTGGTCATCCCAAAGACTTTAAAAATAACCCCTAAAGCCTCCCTGCTTGATGCTCAGCTGTAAGGGGTTGGACTGGGGGGTTAAACCACCAAATAGTTCCTGGGCGCAGCCACAGCTGCAGCTCACCGCTCCTCACAGGCATGGGTCGGATGCAGCGATAAATTTCACCAGTGTGTGATGAATGACTACAGAAGTCTAACTTTTAAGAGGGAAATTGTTAATAACCTAAAAATGTGTTTTAAAATGCTAATATTTCCCTTTAACTTAGATGACCACTGAGTTTTTTCTTTACTGTGTTGCTTTGTAATTTATTATTAACTTATGCAGCAAAATTTCCAGCAGTCACAATAAAACAAAACATACTTTTATACATAAAACTAGATCAGCTTACCAGACAGCTGAGAGGCTATGTGTCATTTCTCCAACTTTTCTAGGACATCCTCTGATCATTTAATAAACATCCATGCAGAATTGATCATGTATATCTGCCAAGTCATGGAGTTTTAGTCAGGAAAAAATACAGAAAGGCTGTATTTTAAATGAAATGAGAGCAGGAACATGCTGTGGAGTTATGGGGCATTTCCCAGCTGTCAAACACAATGTGCCCCTCATCGCTCTCTGGGTGCTGCGGAGCACACGGGCTGACTTTTCTTCCTCTCTTCCCTCACGGAGAGCAAAATAATGATGTGTGGTGTCGGTGAGGAATGACAAGAAGGGAGGAGAACTGGAGAGATGGACTGCCGTGTTGAAAACCATCACATATGGAAAATGTTAATTAGGGATGCAATGCCAGAACTGCATTCAGCTGATGGAAACTAAAGATGAGGGCAACTGGAGGTGGATTTGCACCGCTGGCAGCTCACCAACAAAATAAATTCTGAACAAATGCCCAGCATCCATATGTTATGTAGAAAGCAGGCAGCACTCTTTAAGCTCTTTCAGCTGGCCGGACCCCAACTCCATCACAACTTCACATGTAGGGGATTTTTCTGGAGCACGGAGGAGAAACTCATTATGACGGCTGGTGTTTGAGCTGTTGCTGGCGTGGCATTGACAAACGCTCCACACACAAACCCGTGTGGCAATTGTTAACGACACTCAGAAACCGTTTCCTCATTAAGGGTGAATGGGTGCTAGCTGCTTCTCAGCTGAAAGGATTTAAGTGGTGGGAGTGTTTTCTTTTGATAGCTGAGATAATGACTGCATCAGGAAATATGTGCATGGGGACAGAGAGAGTGCCAGGGCCTTATTAGGCAGACGTTATTGTGGGAGAAAAGGGGAAAGGAGATTTAAGAAGTGAACGTTTAAGACGTGAGCATATATAGTTTCTCACACAAAAAGAAATGATTGAAATAGTAAATCAATGCATGTTTTTATTATTTTGTGAAACAAAAAGGTAATTAATTAGCATTTCATCATCCAGATTCATTTAGCTGGTTTTTCTAAATTTATCATGAACCCCTGAAAACATCCTTGCAATTTTCTATAAAAGCTGTAATAAGGTTCATTATGTCTGATTCTGAAAAACAAATATCACGTTTGAACAAAAGAACCAGGTGATAATTGTATTCAAAAGCGTTGTCAGAGAACGTTTCTTGGATCTTGTTTATTAGTTAAAAAGTAAAGTCTTTAATAAGTCCGCTTCAGCCCCGGACTGGACCGAACTGAACCTCAGAAAACACAGTGAGGTTCCAGAGTTCGGTTTGATGGAAAAGTCGCTGTCAGAAACAAAGATTAGCTTCATTACACCAATCCGATTGTCACTGATGTTCATTAAGTTTGTTCCTCCTCCTAAAGTGTGTAAAAAACACAAAAATGAAGGTTTAAGGCGTGGTAATGAATTCCCTCATGATGATGGAGCCGGGCTGTGCTCCTTGGTGCCATGTGGCGGTGTCTGTGACACCCCCCCCCCCCCCACACACACACACACACACACCCCAACACACACACACACACACACACACGCGCGCGCACGTTTAGCGTGTGCTCATGAGATTCGAACACGTGAATAAAATCAAAGTATGTCTTACCGCTACGCGAGCCTGTGAAAATACTTTAAGACGTAAGATGATCCTTTGTTTGGGAAGGGAAGGTCGTTCTGGACTCGGTGAGGTCCCGCCGTTGTTGTCTGTTTTTTATTTTTTGTTTGCTTTTGGTTTTTTTTTTTTTATTTTGTTGCTCCACTTCTCTGGAGGAACCAGCAGAACGTTTCACTGATATCTTCAGGATTTCAGCATCACTAAAGAGCGTTCGAGCAGGCTTTGTCCATGTGTTCGAGCTGCGTCGATTTAACTATGTGGTCTGCTGCGTAAAACCGGTGCCAATTCCTGCGGGCCCGTTCCGTTACAAGGATGCGAGACAATGGTCCGGTCATTTTGGCACAGGTCGAACCTCCTTCGGTGTCAGGACGCAGTAGATCGGCTGATTGGAGCGCACCTTGGTCGCTGGCTTGCTCACATCTCTGTGAAGAGGATGGAAAAATCAGAGATGAGTGTGTCTCATGTGCTGCTTGGATCCGGTGCTGCCTTTCGGGTACCTCATCTTGCTCTCGCTGGAGCGCTGGATTGTGGAGCTGCCGATCTGTTGATCACTGGAGGTCCATCTTCACCCAGCGGTGTCCTGTAGGTCGGACCTCAGAGCCCACAGTCCGGACGGAGGCAGAGCGGGGACCCCTGAGTGACAGCTGGATACTCTCAGCCTGTCGACCCGCGTCTTTGCAGGGAGCAGCAAAGCAGGATGTTGCGCGTACGCGTCTTTGGCTTGTGCGCGCACCCGACAGGTCACACATCTCGGATCCATAAACATCTCCAAAGAGCAGTCCCACCAATCAAAGATCTCCTTCCTATTTACAACAGCTCAGACGAAACCCACACGTTCATACAACTTAACAGGCCTACAGTTGTAATTTAGGAACAATAATGTGCTAAATTCACCTTTTATCCACATGTCTTAATGTTTTAACATTCATTCATATGTTAAAAATATCTAATAATCTATAATGTTACAACCACGTCTAAATATATATTGAAGTTTAAAATAAAAAATATGTCAGGTTTAAACGAAATCATAAAGTCTGATTACTTTTATTTTGGTATACTTCCAATTCTTAGCTGAGTGATAACCCCTGTCTCTGTGGAAAAGTGTTCTCTCTGTCATGGAGTCATGCAGAGAGAACCCAGACAGCAACACTAATACCTTCACCCTGCCTTTCCTTTTTGTCAATTACTTCCAATTTAGATCACAATTTGCACAAGTTTTTAGTTTAAAATAGCAACATCATGTTTATAATTTAAATCGTTTACATTTGACCACTTACAGCCGTTTAATATTTGATTGTAAATGTTTGGACTTGATTTATACATTAACCTGACTAGCAACAGATTAAAGCTGCTTAATCCTTTTTTTTTTTTTACATCCTCAGTTGTTTGGAAGAATCCTGAAGACTTTTATTTTGTGTGTCCGCTCCATTGGATATTGGAATGTCATACAAACAAAACTGCAGTTGATGCTGTTTATTTAATTTCACAAAATATACCATTGTGTCAACATAAGAATGAGTGAAACTTCTTGGTGGAGGGTGAAGGAGGCAGAGGAGTTAAAGGCACACTTGGCAGTTTGCTTGTTTTTAACCCCACCTAGTGTCCGTTATTAATGACGTGGTCTCGTGTTGTGTGTTCATCTTTTAACACCTTAATCTAACTGCTGAAATGTCTCCTCAGCCTTCATCAGTGTCTACAGAAGCAGTTCATCACTAAATTGTAAACAAATCAACAGTGTTCCTGAACTAAAACATGCAGGAAACGCGCTGGAAGCAGACTGCAGTGGCAGGTGTGTTAGCTCAATTATTCCAAGTCCCAACAGAGCAGCCACCACTCTGAAATCTCAGACACAATATTCTGGCCACAGTGGGGGTCTGAGTAAAATTCCCTTAACCCTAAAGGGTCACTTTAGCACATACTGGCTAAAGAACGTTATCAAAAAATATGAAGAAGTTGCATACCGTAAATCCTCTAATACAGGCCCGGGCCTGTATTTGACTCAAGCTCATCAAGCTCCAGGCCTTTATTGGAAGGAGGACCAGAATTAGAGGCAGGCCTCAATTTCTATTTGAGCAAAATGAACTAATGGTTTGCTGGAGTTTTTGACAGTTAAAATTGCGCCCACATTTTCAAAGTTAAACACATTTCTTTTAACAACGGTAGTTTCTGCTTCAGCCATCTCCCCCTGCACAGCGGCCGCAAACTCACTGATGCGCCTGCAGCCTCTCGGAGCTCCTGCTGCTCTAAACATTAAAATAATTATTTCATTTTCTGTTCCTCACTTCTGATTACCTTCAATGGTGTCTGTTTGTTGCAACCACCAGGTACAAGAACTAACTTGTTTTTATTTGACTATTTTTCTGTCCTGCCTGTTTATTATCTTCCTGCATCTCCTCTCAATCCTAAAGAAAAACTGCTACCTGGGTTCATATATATTCACCTTATGAGTTACCTTTGAACTGCAGTTCTAAAAGATCTACCGACCGCAAAAACAGCGGAGTGCTCGCCGGCCACATTATTGAGGTGCGTCACCGAGGACAAAACAGGTGATGCCCCCGATCCACAGCAGTGAAAGGCATCAGGCACAAATAAAAGAATAAAAGACAGAAAACATAAAAGGAAATGAGCCGACATGAACAATCGGGTCTGTGGTGGTGAAGAGAGAGCTGAGTCAGAAGGCGAAGTTCTCGATTTACCGGTCGATCTACGTTCCTACCCTCACCTATGGTCATGAGCTTTGGGTAGTGACCGAAAGAACGAGATCGCGGATACAAGCGGTCGAAATTATTTTTCTCCGCAGAGTGGCTGGGATCTCCCTTAGAGATAGGGTGAGAAGCTCGGTCATCCGGGAGGGGCTCGGAGTAGACCCGCTGCTCCTCCACATCGAGAGGAGCCAGTAGAGGTGGCTCGGGCATCTGGTCAGGATGCCTCCTGGAAGCCTCACTGGTGAGGTTTTCCGGGCACATCCAACCGGGAGGAGACTTAAAGGTAGACCCAGGACACGGTGGAGGGACTATGTCTCTCACCTGGCCAGGGAACGCCTTGGGATTCCCCCGGAGGAGCTGGCCCAAGTGGCTGGGGAGGGGGAAGTCTGGGCCTCTCGCCTTAGGCTACTGCCCCCCGCAACCCGACTCCAGATAAGCGGATGAAATGGATGGATGGATGTTTATTTACTCAGTCTAATATTTCTTCATTTAAATGAATTTGATTAATCTAAGTTTTTAATGATTTTGTTTTCTGCAGCAAAACTACTGCCCAATTTTTAACCAGCCCCTTTCACTTTAGCTTAGCATAAAACACAGTAAGTGAATGGATAGCAATCCATAGCAATGTGAGCTAAAACGTCCTCAAAATTATTCAGTAGTGATCCCAATTCTGCTTGGTGACCTAAATAATCAAACTGACTGCAAGTGAAAAATATTATTTATGACAAAGCACAGCTGTAAGCCTCTGCTGAAAGTTGTAAGCCAGCCTTGAAGACACCTGCTTCTGGAACTTTTATTTTTTAATATGTGGATTTAGTTTTGCCTGATTGTTGTTGAGTACGAGAGGAGTTTGGTAAGCCCATGGAGGAAGATCTTCATACAGCTTTGAGAAGATTCTAGTCCACCATCCGGCATTTCAGGTGAAAGCCCTGTAGTAAAGACGCTGTGCTGCTGACCTCGACTTGGATCAGCGGAGTACTTCGATGATTTATGTAATCCAACCGACACAAAAAAATGGTTTTAAACTAATTTGTTTTCCAAATTTGCCATGTCAGCTTTGAAGCCCCACTGAGTGAAAATATTAAATTCCTTAGCGCCAGGCTGTTCAGAGTAGGTATTGCATCTCTAGTAGCCCACATGCATCAAAAAGGCAATGTGAAAACACCACACACCAGCTTTCAAACTTCTTCAAGTTTTATTTACACTTTCTCCTGATTCCTGCAGTCAGCGTCTCAGGCATTAGGGATTAGAAAAGTTCTCGTTCCGTGTCCTGTGAATATACGTAGAACGGATCTGATCAGTCATTTGCAGCTGCTGCCGTCTTGCTCCAGTGCTGCCACTTCTGCCGTGTCTGTCGTGTTTGCCACGTCACTCGTTCCTGTCCCCCGCGGCTGTGCACGCACCACCTCAGTTATAAACTACTTTCAGGTTTTAATCCAGCGATCTCATGTAGTTAAAGCAGGGCAAGCAACGCAACGGGGAGCAGCAAAATGTCCCCAAGCCTGTCAGGCTGGAGAAAATCGGCACCATTCTTACAATGTTTAGAGGGAGAAGGTCCTCTGGGACCATCGCCAGAACGGGGCGTGGAGCGTCCTCTGGGACCACCACCGGACGTGGGTGAGTGGTGCTGGAGGGTTCTGGGGAAGGTGTCCATCCCTCAGAGCAGGTCAGACCGTCTGCGGTGACATCCTTAAGTGTGGACCCATAAACACTCCGGACATAAAGGTAATAATTACCAAGGGCTGGAACCGTTATCAGTTCCAGATGGGTGAAAAAGAGGGTATTTAACTTTTCAGCCGTCCGCAGTCTTAAGTGGGGGCAGGATGGTATGGTAAAGATTTCTCATATAGCGTCCTCGACCGTCTTTATCATCATCTGAACATACTCCTCAGTTGGGGGCGGCCTAGAAGCAAAACATGTGGCGTCTGGGGAACCCGCCGACACCAGCACGGGAGAAGGATCGACCTTCTTAGCAGCTCCAGAAGACCTCCGGGACCGCCGCTGACGTCACCTGACAGGAGGGGGTTGAGACTGGAGCGGCGTGATGACAGGAGGCACTTGAGGCTGGAGCGGCGTAGCTGCTAAACCTTGGATCTGGGAAGGCAGTGAATTCGCAGAAGGTTTCCGGGGCTGCCACGGTCGCGTTGTCCGGGACCCGCTGCGCAAGACGGTCGCTGCAGGCCTGGACGGAGGGGTGGAACCTCTGCGCGGCTGTGGCCTGATTGCCAGACGTGTTCCACAGAACGGTGACTCCTGTTCCTTTTCTAGCTCCATAAACTCAAGGAGCGTGAGATACTCCATGACAGGTCAGAATGAATGTTAGCTGAACTCCTAAGCAAGTACTGTGTCGGCGTCGGGTCTATGTTGTGGCCAGATTATTCTGTCACGACCAGAACTTGGAAGACCCGTGATGACACCAAACACAGTAAAAAGTTCAATAAAAAGTCTTTATCAGATGTGACGTTACTGCAGAGGGCGAGGCAGGAGACAGAGTCGGAGAGGAGGCGAGGGTCAAAACCAGATGGGGACGAGCAGGTACAGGGAACAGGCTGGAGACGTAGAAGACAGGTGAGGGTCGTGGTGGCGGGCAGAGTTCAAGGCAGGGGTCAGGCGTGAAAATGAGATCCGGAGGCTGTGATCAGGCAAGGTGAAAGGCTGGAAGATTTACTGGCAAAGAGCGTTCAATAATCTGGCACTGGTTGGAGAGCAGGCTGGGAGTTAAATAGCAGAGGGAGCAGGTGTGTGGGATGAGCCGATGACAGGGACAGGTGAGATGAATGAAGTGGCTGAAGGCTTGATGAGGTGGCGCAGAGGCAGAGGAGGGTGAAAGACTGGGAGTCATGACAGGATTGGAGTTTTACTCTCCCTGGAAGAGCTGGCACAAGTGGCTGGAGAGAATGAAGTCTGGACCTCTCTGCTTCGGCTGCTGTCTCAGCGCCCCGACACCGGATGAGTGGACCAAAAAACAAACATTTTTTGTTTCTATTTGTAAAAATTTTAAGGGTTTTTAAACATTTTTTTACCCTTTAAGTGTTTTTTTTGTTTACTTTTTGTTTTCTATGTAAAAAAACGCAGCCGATTGTGGAGTCACTGACTTGTTACAGAGACTTTACAGCGATCTTCATACTAAGCAAGCATAGCGTAGTCTGGCCTGCCAGACTCCTCCTCTGTTTAATTCTGCACAGAGGAAGGGTCTGGAAACTCTCCTATTCAAATAACCCCACTCCCTGAGAATTCTAACCCAGCCAATCAGCGCTGAGCAGCGTGCGTCACACACCACAACGCTGAGTTAGTCTTAAACATGGCGACTGAAGCGGAGTTCGCTGCAGCTCTTTTCTCTGTTTTAAATGACTGGAACATGTCGTTAAAACCACAACAAGTAGAAGCGCTAAAAGCCTTTCTTCTAAAGAACGATGTTTGCGCTGTCGCCAGA